GGAAGCAGCACAATGTCCATCTACAGATGCAGTGTGTGCTAACGCGACCTAAACATGGCCAGAGAAGGACGCCTGAGTCCTTACGGACGAGTTGTGACCACCCTGGCAGGCAGACAGGATTGAAAACCTAACTCAGGAGTCTGTGTCTGTAACAGTAGCTGAGTCTCGACCAGTCCCAGCCACCCATAGAATGCCGAGTGTTCAAACTGCGTTCAAATCAGGCAGACGCCCACCCCGACCAGTCTGCTGTTCCGTACTCACTGCTGATTTTTACGCATCACTACCCGTTTTCTGTCTATATGTTTGTTCTGACCACCAGACATCCCTGGAGTCTCTGAATCTGCGGTGATTCTGGCGCTGCCTGATTCATGAATCATTCATTGCTCAATTAAATTCCTTTAAATTTAATTCAGTTGAAGTGTTTCTTTTAACAAATGGAATATGATTCAGCCTTAAAAAGGAAGGGAATCTGGACCCAGGCTGTAACACGGTGAACCCTGAGGATGTTACGCTGGGTGAAATAAGCCCGTCACAGAAGGATGAGTCTTGCAGGGGTGCACGGAGGGGGGGCCCCCGAGGCCTTGGCGCCACAGAGACAGAGGCAGAACGGTGGCTGCCAGGCACGGGGAAGGGGGTGTGGAGTTCCCGTCCAATGGGGACGGGGCTTAGGCTTGGGAACTCTACATTATAAAATGTAAATTTTACTGTATGTGTATTTTATCACAATAAAAATGTATTTTTTAAGTGTACTAGACTTTGCCTCAAAAGCCCCAGTTTTTTCCATTTAAATAAGAAAATAATGCAAAATATGCCAACAGCTTTAAGACCCTGTTTATCCTAAGGCAACGCAACAGTTCACAAATTGTGATGAAGCTGCCGAGAATTCTGTATGTCAGCATCTCCAGGACGTGCGAGCAGGACTTTCACTCATCTTCCTTTGCCTTTCTGTCACACACACGTACGTTCCTGCCTCAGTGCGGTTTCACGCTCTGGACGACGGGGCGCTGGCACCTGCTCTCAGGAGCTCCTCTCTTCCTCTTTACTGCAGTCAGTTGCTGGGACCCAGGGGCTGAGTGGATCCCGCAGCGACCTTCACCACAGGGCATCATTCTGGCTGTGCGAGTGGCCTGTTCTCTGGCTCGCTCGCTCCTTATCTGCATTCTTTCCTTCCTTCCTTCCTTCCTTCCTCTGTGCCCCACTCCCATTCCACTCCTCTCTCATGCACATATGGCAGGCAGCGTATTATGTAAATACGTTCCTGCAGAATTTCTATCGTATGTGCCTCATTTTAACTCAAGACGATGTTTTACATGGCACGTCCTGTCCCGTCTTCCTTTATCCTCTAGGAGCGCAGGTGCAGAGACCGCCCACGGTGCTGCTCTCACAGCCACACCCGGTCCCAGCAGGACACTCCCCCTGGCCCCCTCGTCGGCCTCCACAGGTGACACTGCAGGACCTGGCTCTGCCTGCAGACTCATGGCCCGGCCTGAGAACTCCCCCAAATCAGGCTGCAGAGCTGCCTGCCGGCCTGAACTGACCTTGACCACCATGGCAATTCTTACGTCCTCTTTAACGGCCTTGCTGCTGCCACGGTCCTCAGAGGGGTGTGCCCCTCACCCAAAGCATCTTCTAACCCCCCGGGTTCCTTCTTGTTCTGTTTTCTCCTAGGAGCCTCCCATCCAGGTGCTCAGTGGGACAGCTGGATCCCCCCTGCAGAGCTGCTCTTCCCCTTTGAAATCTGCACGTCACCTGCAGGGTAAGGGGAGGCTTCGGGATTCTCTCCATCCCCAAAACATGTGACCCAGTGATTTTAGCATCCGGATCATCCTTGTTGGGTTTGGTTATTCCCTTGGGAACAACAACGCACTTTTCTAATTCTGTCATCCCTATGCTTGCCCTACTTTTTCTGTGAGAAGTAGAGCTTTCTCCCAACCTTCCCCACCCTCGCCCTGGTGCTACGGACGTGCACCGCGCATTATGCTGCCCTTTGTAATGAGTCATCCTCTAGTAATGTCCTTGTTCACGCTGAGGCTGAAATCAGCCAGGGCTCACCCCTGGGAGGCTTTCTGCTGCCTTCCCTATCACTGACAAGTGTCGAAGTTTGGGGCTTACCTGCCTCTGGTAACCAGAGGGACACCCCCACTCACGCCATTTCTTCCTGCTGCAGGCCTGGATGACGATTTCTGCAAGGGGCCCTGGCTACTGTTGTGCCAGATGGTGCACGGCATGGTTCCTGGACTTCCGGCCTCAGGATCCCTCATTCTGAAGAGCCCTGGGGAGACCTCCAGCATGCTCCACCCTAGAAGCCAAAGCAGAAACTTAAACATTCTGTATTAATTCATTTAAGTTAAATAATAAGCTCCTTATAGGTTAATATAAATAACACATTTCAGAGAAAAATATTTTTTTAACAGCAAACAACTTTCCTATTATTTAGCAAATGTTTAACAGAATGGGAAAGGGGAGTATGTTAATAGCTTTCTCAAATAAATATGAATTTTTTAATATGTTGGCAAAACTCAACAAATTAGTTTCTCAAAGGTTGGTTGCAATGTGGAATATGAAACCATGACAATACTCGTGCTAGATACCGTAAGAGTTGAAGAAGGAAGAAAGAAACACGAAAAGAGCTCAACGGTCAAAGACAGGTTTATTTTTGAGAATAAACCTAAGAGGGGCTTCTGGCTGATATTTTCTGGTGGGGAGCCTTTTCTCTTACAGACTAAAGGTATTTAAGAGCTCTGGGAGGGGAGCTTATTGCAGGCTAGGACTATCTCTTCGTGGAGGAAAGTTTTATTGCAAGATCGGAATGTCTCTGGTCAGAGGGGAGGCTATCTTGGGGTTCTTGTGTCTCTGGTCAGAGGTGTCATTTGTGATTTATGGTCATGATCACAGCCATTGTGCTGATGTTTTGGGGCTGGATTTAGGCAGTTTCTAACCAAGGAGAACTTAACATGGCAATGCTCCTCTGAGATGGCGATGCTCCCCTGCCACCGCCTCCCTGCTGGCAAATCCAGTCCGGGTCTCTACGGGGAACGGCATCACTGGCCACTGGATTTTGAATAGGGGCTTGATTACAGAGTTCGTCTGTGTGTGTATCAGCTGAAAGCCAGATGCGCTCCTTTTCCTCAGGAGTGAAGGTGGAGGTTAGAACGATCTAAATGCCACGCCAAGTTAAACTGAAGGACTGAGTAATGGGCAGGAATTCCTTGCAATAATGAGAGGTATTTTCAGGGAAGAACGAAGATGCTGTTGGATCTGTAACAAACCAGACATGGAGGAAGGGGTATGAACGCGAGCACTGCCTTCGACCCCGGCCATTCCCGAAGAGGAAGAGCGGTAGAGGTGGCTGACTGGCTGGCGTGTCCTTTGCCTTTAATGTCCAAATACAAGGCTGGGAACACCAGCCCCCAAGGGGCATCCAGCAGGGGCTCCAGCCCATCTCCACGGACCACGTTTGAGATGGCGGCAGGCACAGCCCCTTTCTAGAGGCCATTCTTAGCTCGGGCTGCTGCCCTTCTCCAAGTTCAAGTGGCCTCTGGCTGGGCCCATCTTTGGCTCCCAAGGCCGGCACTGTGGCAGGACACCCACCCTCACACAGGGACGGGAGGGCCCAGCCTGGCCACACGGCGTCACTGTGAGGCGGACAATGGAGTCGTTTCAAGCCACTGCGCCTGTGGCCATCTGTTATGCAGAAGATGACAATGAATGAATCCTTGTTACGAGAGAAATTTTGGGATTCAGTTTCCTCCATCCCTGGCCCTGGCCCCAACTGGGAGGGAGCCAGAGATGAAAGAATGGCGGAGAGACACCCTGCCGGGGTGGCTTGGGCAGCACTGCCCCCCGCTGCGTCCACACAGGCTCCCAGGCTTCCTGGGCAGCCTGGGACAGAGCCAAGATCTGCTTCCACACGGGTTCCCCACCTTGTTGCCACCGTGAGCAGTGGTACTGCTCTCCTAGGGGGCTCTCGAGTTGGCTCAGGTTCTTGGGATGCCTGCTCCTCCGCCGGGCACTGTGGCCTTGGCTCGCTGCTCAGCCGCCACGGTTTAGGCAGTGGACAAACGCCCCAAGGAGCCTGGTGGGGAACTCACCGCACCACAATACCCTATTGAATAGCTTTTGGGGAATTTCTGACCCCTTCAAAGCCGTACCCAATAGTGTGTGAGGCGGGTGGATGTGTGCACGCTTCTTATTCTGGAGCGGGTGGAACCCAGTCCTGAGATTCTCTGAAGAGCCCCGGGATGAGGACACATGACCTGGAGAGCACTTGGGGCCCGAGCTGCATGGGGAAGCGAAGCCCAGAACTGGCCCTGTGGGCCCTGGCATCTCCCAAACACAGCGCAGTTCTGCCTGGGAAGCAAGCTGGAGGCAGGCTCGTGGGAGGCCTCCCTGCCCAGGCTCTGCAGACGCAGGCGGAGGCCCAGGGTGCGGGCAGTACGGATAGGCTCAGAAGTCCTGTGTTTTTCTTTCTAGGCACAAATGTCTTAATATTAGCAACCTGACGGCAATTCCTCATGCTCCCTAGTGCTTTCTTCTCTGCCTGTCTTAATTGACATGGTTTACAGAAAATAAATTACACGAACTGAGTATTTTGCACTATTGTAGAAGAAAAATTGATCTGATTATTATCCAACTTCAAACACAGTGGAATAAACAGATTATCTTATCTATGCTGACGTATTAAAGACAAGATTTATTTGCTTTTGTAGAAGATGCCTTTTCTTTTTGGAGTCAGAATTAACCCTGAACACCCCACTGCTCAAATGCACCCCATTCTCACTATTCTCAGGCTCTGGAAAATGAACGCAGAAAGTTTCACAAAGTAAAACCATGGAGGATCACGGGAGCACAAAGCGAGTCTACAGGGATTCCGAGGAACCCAGGAAAAGGTCTGCACATCACCCACCGTCCCCGTCACTGTGTATTCATGTTCTGAGCATGGAGAAGGTGGAGATGCTCCATAACTAAAAGACGCAAATAGGACGCTAAGAATACGCAAATTAAGAGTCTGCCAATATTTAATTTTTGTTCATATTTGCCAAGCACATGCTTTTAATTAAGAAGCATTTAAATGGCAAGTTTGTAGGCTGGTGCCTCTGGGAGCCCAGGTTCCATGGGGCCACGGGGGTTCTCGGTGGAGGCAGGAGTCCGGCGTGGGCGCTGCCGCAGCAGCGTGGGTTCCTCCTGTGGGATGAGGGGCTCCCGGCCACTCCGATGCCTCCCAAGTTAAGGGAAGCGGGGGGGCTGGGCAGGACTCCCCACAGATGACCACAGGTCCCCTGCGGCTCCTGCTTCGAGTGTGACCTCCTGGGAGCCCCTGCGGCTCCTGCTTCGAGTGTGACCTCCTGGGAGCCCCGTCTGGAGCATGCTGCATCCTGTGCTTGGGTGACGCTGTGAAGAGTGACAGCTGCTGCCATGTGCCTGTGCTCCAGCAGCCTGCGTCAGGCCTGGGACACTGCACAGCCAACGGATCCAAGGGGATAGTCCCCAGAGCCAGAAACATCCCTGCTTCACCTGCTTCCAGAAGGTTCCTGCTTGTGGAAGAGACGATTCTTAAGGACCTGGAGGGAACTGGCAGGATGGGGGCTGGGAGGGATGCCAGGGCTTCTTTTGCCTCCTTCCACACTGCCCACCTAAGCATCAGCTTTGGGCAGGCACTCTCCAAAGACAGATAGAAGTAGGCAGCACCCCTGAGCAGACACCTCCCCCATCAGAATGGCCCTGATCAGGAAAGTGAGGAGTGACCAGCATGGAGGTCGTGGGGAACCCAGCAGCCCACCTGGCTTCCCCACAGAATGTCGCCGTCACCAGGACCCTGTGGTTCCACTCCTGAGAGGAAGGGAGATGAACATCCACACAGCATCTGGGACATGGATACTCACAGTGGGACAGGGAGGGAGATGGGCACCACACAGCACCTGGGACACAGTGCTCATAGGTGGGACAGGCCATATGTGGGTCCTGGAAGGCACAGGGGCATGCTCTCACCACAAACAGGACGACAGGATGAGCATGGTGGGCCCTGCACAGCACAAATGCACATGATGCCTTGAAGCATGCACCTAAAAATGACTAAGATGGAGCCGTATGTTACATATGTTTTACCATAATAAAATTTTTTTTCATAGAGCCATTGCCCTCTTAAAATGTACTAATTGAGGCTTTTCAAACTTAGTAATACTAAGAATTGATGACTGCTTCTATGAGAAAAAAGAAAGTCAAAACAGGAAAAATTGGTTCTTTATATGATTCACAGAGTAGAGAAAAAAAGAAATTCAACTATCATCAAACTACTTAAACTAGAACCTTTTAATACCCAGAAAACATTCTTAAAACAGACAGTTTCAGATACAAGGTGATTCAAAACTTATAAAAGTATAAGCTTTGAGCTTCAAACTATACAGTTTAACTTAACAGAATGTCCATTTTCAACTTTTATAATAATTAGAAAAACGGAATCAAGTTTTATATAGTAATTCAAGACATATATAATTGCAAATAAGTGAAAAATTTCCATTTTACCCCAATTTCTCATCCGAAGCCTCAGATGGCATCTCACCCATCAGGAACAAACACGTGAATAAATAATGTGGCAGAAACATCTTTCAAGTTCCCAGAGAACTCACTCTCAGCCCATTTCACATTTGTCTTTAATGTTACTTTTTTTTTTGTTAAAGATGAGCTCTTCTTAAAGAGATATTCCGTTTCACTCACTGCTCTTCTCAGGAAGGACATGTGTGATCCAGTAACTGAAGAAAGCTGAGATTACTCTGGCATGGTCTGGAAAGTAAAAAACGAAAGAAAACAAAAAATAAAGCAAAGACCAAAAAATCATGTTACGCGGACAGGAGCCTCTGGGCCCAAAGTGATCTCTGAAATGATCTAGTGAAATGCGGCTCCGGCACAGAACTGATGGTGACCGTGACACGCTGCACTGTTAACCATGCATTATATCACTGGCATGGCAAAACAGTGGCCCGATTCTGAATATGTGCGTTTCACTGGTCCTATTACACTTGAACTTCAGAACATCACAGTGCAATGTTACAGGCTTAAAATCAGACCTGAAAGAAAACCACGTCCAAAGGGAAATGCAAAGGACACAGATGTTTATCTCAAGGGGGAAGAGCTAGAAAAAAGCCGGAAGTGGAACCCTCAGTAAGACACCACAGGGCTCTGCGGCACCCAAGCCACGAGGACAAAAGCAGTCGTGACGTCACCACCCACACTAGGGGCCGCACGGGTGGACACCGGCTGCCAGTGAAGACTCGCCCCAAGTTTTATCACTTGTCAGGGCCCTGAACGCCGCACCTGGAATCTACTGCTCTAAAGTCTCCAACCACAGAGAGCCAAGGACAGGCCACAGAAGCCCCATCCACGCTTCCCCCAGCCTGGCTCCATCCCGCCCAGGGCAAGTTGCCTGAGCTCTGAAAGCCCCAACAGTCAGGATGACACAAATCTAATTCCCACGCAGAGGGTTAGAGGGGGATGACATTCAGAAATCCCTACTTCCCAGTGTGCATGTGAGAAACACTCAAGGAGTGGGGGCTACCCTGACGCGCGTGTCTAATAAAACGCCACGCATGCATGAGCTACCACTGAAGAATGTATGCATGAAAACGTCACATACGCAAGCTACCACTGACAAAGTGTGTAATAAAACGTCACATATGCATGAGAGCTACCACCGATGAGGAGTGTGGAATAAGACCTCAAGCCCACGTGCGCGACCACGGATGAGGAGTGTAATAAAACCTCACGTATGTGTGAGCTACCACCGATGAGGAGCGTGTGCAGTAAGACGTCGTGTACGTGTACATGTGTGCAGTAAGGAGGAGCGTGTGCAGTAAGACGTTGGTACGTGTGAGCGACCACTGATGAGGAGCGTGTGTAATAAAACCTCACGTACGCGTGAGAGCTCTGCCCCAGTGCTGGCATCCCAGCTGAATGTGGCCCCAACGATCGAGGAAAAGGAAGTGCTGCACCAGAGGGGAGGGAGAGTCGAAACAGCCACATCTGCTTTTGAATGCGAAGGCCTCTGCACTCATCCTGTAGAGGTGAGAGACACAGCGACTAACTCAACTTCTCGGCTAGTCCTAGGGAAAAAACCCTTAACTTCAAGACTTGTACAGGCCAAGTCTGCTTTCAACAAATACAGTGTGTGAAGACGAAGCTTCACTGTTTATAAAATTTTATTTCATAAAATAGCTTGAGATAGAAAACTTTAAGCAATGTATCCTTGCTTACAGAAACCAGGTTACATGCACAGTTTAGTTCTACCAGTGGCTTAACAAAATGTGATGTACACACACCGTTGGATGATTTTAATATAAGAAACAAGTTATTTTAATATTGAGGGTTCTGCTAAATTCCCCACAACTGCCAAAACTCTCCTGGTGAATTTCAGAAAAGCCTCAAGTGTGAGAAACAGAACAAAAATTTAAGAAATTTAAAATTTAAAATGGCTTGCTTTCATGTCGCATAAAGACCTCCTATCAGTTTAATAAAATTGACTTTTTGCGGCTTGAGATAAACCTTACTGTGGAAATCTATGTTTGTTAAGTACTTGCTGTAAGAGGCCTGACAACCAACCAGGAACAGAGAGAGAACGTCCGTGGCCTGCCCCTCCCTAACACACAGGTGCGTCCTCAAGGAGCACGGCCTCCCTCCTACACTGTCGCCCCTGGGCCCCACTTCCGCGTCACGGCCCCAGCGGCCCCCTGCTCCCTGCGCTGTGCCACGGCACCATCACACCACGATTATGTAACTGTTCGTTAACTGCTTTTCTAATACGCTGGTCGTGACCCCTCAGCAACCCTGTGTGTTTCTAAGGGCAGGAACAGCCCCTGACACTGACTTTGAAACTCCCTCCACGAAATCTGCCAGAGTCTCCGTTGCCCTGCCTCTCGGACGGTCCCTGCGCCAGCCCTGGCCACTCAGTGGTGTGCAGGCGAACGGCTCTCAGAAAACAGCATGGATTTCTGATTTTCGGCATTTGCAGGTTTCTGTGGCCTGAATACCCTCACCACAGCTCGTGTCACTGCACACGGCAGTGAGAAGACACGAGCTTGGCCGCTCCAGCACACAACAGTTTGCACAAAGAGGACGCCTAGTGAAGGGTCTGGAAAATAAAAGTCATGACCGCCACTCCGGGGTGTAGTATGCTACAAGACAGCTGGAGGACACCAGTGGAGGAGAAGGAAAAGAGGGAGAAATGAACTCACTTCTATTTAAACTTAGGAAAATGTGGCTCTCACAGCTGACAGCTCCCAAGTCTGGAAAATTAGAGTGCACATGCATTTCTGCGTATGTTACGTGAAGTATTTTTATATCAAGCAGAGATGCGGGAAGCCTGCTTCTCTGTGGGACTCTACTCTTCTGCGCCATATGTGTGGTGTCACATTTTCCAACTCGTTGCTGTTTTGGTGGTGGGTGAGTCTTTTAGAGGCAAGACTCGATGAGAGTATCTTGAGCAGGACCTTGGATAAATCATATGGTACTTACCAGGAGGCATCGAGCAATGTTCTGGGAACACTGCCAGGGCACGCTTCAGGCTCTCCGTATCTTGCAGAAGCAGCAGCGTTTTCATGTGATGCAGGACTGACACGTCTGAGGGCAGCATGGTGTGCGACGCAAGACGCCCCAGCAGCTCCTCAGTGGCACCCGCAAGGACGGCCGAAGCTGCGTCTCTGCAGACACCTACATAAAGTCAGTTTTGCTTGGAAATAGAGTTTTGCTTTTATTTCTATAAACTACAGATAAGCTTTACTCTCTTAAGGAAAGCTCAAACCTACGCTTCCACATAGAATGGGATGTCTGGGAGATAAGAAGCTATCGGAAGAGAGAATCGGAACAGAGCTCTGAAAAGTCAATGAGGAGAAGACAGCACTGTGTGAGTGACTGTGGAAACCTGGCCCGTCTACATCTGTCTGGTGAAACGCCTTCCCTGTCCCACACTCGACTCAACGTCATCAACAGCAGCAGGACCAACCAGACAACGACATCAGGCTCTCCATGTCCATGTCACATAGCTTAAAAAAAGAATCAGACTGTGCCTGTTTAGAAGATACCAAGGAAAATGGCAAACCAGCCCGGACTGCCACTGCTTCCATCGAAAGGGCAGCCTCGGGCCGGCTGCTGGTCCTGTTTCTCTGTCTGCTCCTGGGCAGTTTGACTGCAATGTGCTCACCTGTGGAGGTTCTGGCAATAACCCTGCTTGGAGTTGGCAGGACATCTTCAATGTTTGACTCTGTGTCCCCTAACAATTGTGTAGAACTCCCAACTGTCCTCTCTCCTCTCCACCTGGGCCTGTTTCAGGGATGCTGGACCGCTTGCTGCGTGTCTGCTGGGCTCTCTCCCATGTTTGCCATCCTCTGCTCTGCACCCTGCCGTCTAGAGACTGTCTTTGACCTGTCTTCCCAGTCACTAATTCTCTTTTATGCCAACTCTCCTTTGCTGTTTACCTGTCTTTTGAAGCCTGAATTTTAGTTACGAGATTTCTCAGGCCTAAAATTTCCATGTGATTATCTTAGTAAATCCAAATTACCTGTGAAATGCGCCAATTTTTCCTCTTTTTTCCCCTTATCTTAAGCTCCTCATCTGATAACATCAGCATCTCCCAGTCTGCCTCTCCTGTCTTTCTAATGGTTTTTGGTGCTGTGGTCCTGCTCGTGGCATGCCTGGTAAATTGTTACTGAATGCGTAGGAAAGATTGTGGATATCTAGGATGACAATACTTTAGAGGACGCACTCTTTGCTCTGCCAGGCAGAGACAGTAGGAGTGGATCCCCTGGATCACGCGGGGACTGAGCTGACCCCAGGATGGCCACACATTTGGGGCACTGTCATCTGCCTCTGGGCTGCCCTACTCTGATAGGCTTGAGGGTCAGGCCCGTTGTCATCTGATCAGCACCTCAAGATGGCCATGAGGCCCCTGTTATTCTGAAGCTTTCTGCGTGGCTTCTCATCTTCCATCCACAGCTTCACAATTGGGCAAAGGCTCTAAGGGAAGCCATGTAGTGCTGGGTTCTGTTCTCCGACCTCTGCACCCTCCAGCCCTGGCTCTGACCTGTGAGCCTCCTGGGCCCACCAGCCCAGCTCCGACCTGTGAGCCCCCCGGCCCGGCTCCGACCTCTGAGCAGTATCTTAGCCATGTGTTCCTGATGTGCCATTTGGAGATTTGTTTTCAATTTGTCAATACAATCTGCCGAGAAACATGCTAAAGAGGAAGAGGCTAGAGTACTCTTGGTGTTTAAATCACTCTGTTAACAATGGTACTTCTGCATCACTGTTTAAATCAGTTACTTACGTCCCAAATTATTATATAGCTAATATTTCTCAATCTTGCTCACAAAAGCACCATCAAATGCCATGCTTAAATCTGGATCTGCTAAACCTACCACATTAACCTGAACCTGCTGGTAACATCATTGAAAACACACCTATACCCACAAAAATTAAAAACTATTTTAAAAATTAAAGAGAAAAAAGCCAGGAAGAGTCCACGGGGAGCACCTCTGTTCTGGGGCAGCCACACATCCCTGGGTCAGCTGTCAGCAAAGTGTAGTGCAAATGCAAGCAAGTGCCATCCATGACATTACACCTACATTTACTACCTTCTATCAATACAAGCAACTGCACAAAAATGCCTGCTGAGAAACTGTACCTCAGTTCTATGTGGAGGAGAAAATGAAATCTGTCCTAAAGGTGCAAGCTGTGTTTCCTTCAGCTCTCTGTCAGCTTATGAAGGTGAGCTCAGCTCATCAAAATCTCCAATCTGGATTTACTTTTGTTTAATATAGCCTGGATGCCAACACACTCCCAAACCTGACCTTAGAGGCAGGAACACGGGGCCGGCCGCCCTTGGTGACGCCGGCCGCCCTTGGTGACGCAGCCCGCCACAGCTGCGCTGCTCCTCTGGATATGCTAGGTACATCATGTGATATGCCATCCACATCACTGGTGGAAAGCAGATAAATCTTCTCATCTTTGCCTTATAACTAATTATTTACATTGAATATTTTTAACGTATGTTTTGAAATTTAAGCACTGTATTTGTTTCTTTTAACAAACTTTTAAGTGGATGTCACTATGCAAGAAAAAACCAGTAAAAAACATACCATCATGGAAATACATTTTTTGTGTTGACTTCAAAAAATTTAGAATGCTCTCTGCCTTTTCATTGGTAATTTCATCATCTTCCTCACTGGCGTCTACACCATCCTCCTCGGTGTCTTGAATGTCTTCCTCCCTGGCTAGTACTGGGGCTCCCTCGCTGGTGTCTGCACCCTCTTCATCCCCAGCCGGTGTGGGGGCTTGCTCCCTGGTCTCTGGACCATGCTCCTCCCCAGCATCCAGACCCTCTTCCTCCCCAGCTGCTGTCGGGGCTTCCTCGCTGTCCTCTGCACCGGCTTCCTCCCCGGCTGCTGTCGGGGCTTCCTCGCTGTCCTCTGCACCGGCTTCCTTCCCGGCTGGTGTCAGGGCTTCCTCGCTGTCCTCTGCACCGGCTTCCTCCCTGGCTGGTGCTGGGGCTTCCTCGCTGTCCTCTGCACCGGCTTCCTCCCCGGCTGGTGTCAGGGCTTCCTCGCTGTCCTCTGCACCATCTTCCTCCCTGGCTGGTGTTGGGGCTTCCTTGCTGTCCCCTGCACTGTCTTCCTCCTCCCCAGCATCTGCACCCACCTCCTCCCTGGTGTATTGAATGTCTTCCTCCCCGGCCAGCGTCAGGTCTTCCACACTGACCTTTCCTGCATCTGTCCCTTCACTGCTGCTCTCCTCCGGCTGATACATGAAATTGATACCAGCAGCCTTCGTTACCAAGCCAGCTGCTTTCTTCCTTTTAATTTGCTGTTTCTTTTTCAGTTTCCTTTTTTTATTTTTGCTTATTGTGGGGCCATCTGTGTACTGTCGCTGAGATTTCTCCTGTAAAAGATGCTGCTGTTTCTCTAATTCTGCTTGTTCTACAAGAACATTATTGGGATTTTTAAGTTTTTTTCTTGATTTATGCTTCCTAATTCGTCTTCTCTTTGGTTGGTCATGAGGATCCTCATCTGTTAAAAAAAATTCATACAACAATTCTTAGTACAACAAAACCATAAGAAACGTATTAAACTAAATACATTTTCCATCAGGATCTTGCAGTTTTAGTAGAAAAAGAGTTTACACTATTTACTTCGGTGATTCTCAACTTTACCTCACAGTAATTACCCCATCAAAGTTCCTAGGACTAACAATAACATAAATTAGCAAGCTACTTTTTTTTTTCCCCATAAAAGGCTCATTTAGATGTATATACACTCACAGATACTACAATCATAATATACGGTGTTTTGAAGGATGTACAAGTTATCGCTTTTCTTTTTTTCCCCGAGACAGAGTCTCACTCTCTCTCAGGGGAAAAAATTGCTTGAACCTGGGAGGCAGAGTTTGCTTACTGCAAACTCTGCCTCCCAGGTTCAAGCAATTTGCATGCCTCAGACTCCTGAGAAGGTGGGCCTACAGGCATGCGCCACCATGTGCAGCTGATTTTTGTATTTTCAGTAGAGACCGGGTTTCACCATGTTGATCAAGCTGGTTTTGAACTCCCAACCTCAAGTGATCCACCCGCCTCAGCCTCTCAAAATGCTGGGATTCCAGGCGTGAGCCACTGTGCCTGGTCTTTTTAACAGTTTAGTCCCTTCTAAAGTTACTTGTACATGAGAATAAAAATTAAGTAATGATGGCTTGCCCATCTGAGTCAGCAACAGTTTGCGTTTTGACACGAAGGCTCAGCTGGACTCTAGGTTGGCAGAAGTTGGTTTACAGACAGCATAGGTTGGTGGTGTGCTGGTAAAGGGCTAACAACCAGCTCTCTGAAAAGCCGGAGTCATCCCCTCTGCTAATTTCCCTGGTGTAAATACTTCTCCCACGGCCAATTTCAAACTACCCCTGTGGTGCTGCTGAAAAGAAGAGGTTCAGTCAATTCTCTTGGGCTGAAACAGGCAGCTGGGGAGAGGGTGGGCAGGAAGCACTGTGGATAAACCACCGCAGGTCCCAACCCCTCAGTGAGGACAGGAAGGTCTCGGAGGAGTAACTGGCGCCAGGCAGGGGGAACAGAGAATGCAAAAAGCACACGAGGACACGTGCAGACCAAGAACAGACAGCACGCGGCACAAACGCGCCCTGCCCCACACCCGAGCCACGCCCAGACACCGAGGGGTCATGTCCACACCGCCGGCGTCTACTTCATGGCCAGCACGTGGCTCCCAGGCCCTGCCCCAGCAGATCTGAACTACAGAGCTCGCTGCTGCACCACGCCAAGGGCTGGGGTTCAGACCGCTCATTTTAGGAAGTGCCTGTTGGAGTTTTCTGAGCTGGGTACCCCATCACAGACTGTGAGGACTTGAGATTGAACAACACGAGTGTGGACGCGGGTTTTCCCTCAGGCGCTCCACTTCACTTCTGAAATCGGACAGAAGTCTTCAGTTCGTCTTCCACACTGCAGCTCTTCAAAGTGGCTTCCTACTCCCCTGTCTCAACAGCCGCAAACACACCGCCCTCAACGCCCCGAGCCCGTGAGTGCTGGCCAGGAACCCTGCAGAAGGCAAGCTCCGGGCTCCTTCCCACCGCCAGCTGTGATGCAGGCCCACCCCACGACTCCATTACGCAGTCCCATCGGTTTCCCTCACCCCCAAAATACAGGAAGGGTTTACCAAGCACCGGCCTCCCCTCTTCATGTGATGCGGACACCCCCTCACCGCTCTGCTCACTGTGAAGGTGAACGCCGCTGTGGAAGTGTGAGATGACGCTGCTGCCACTTTGTGGAAGAGAGTTCCCACCCCGTCATGATGGGCTTGGCACCCGCTCTGCACAGCGCGACACAGGCTGAAGCAGCTCCGTGCACAGCTGCGGTATGAAGGCCACCCAGCCTGAGTCTCCTCAACGCCTTCATGTCGCTCCTCAAAGACCAGTGGGTGTTGGAATAATCTCATCTACGAGTATTTGTTGCCACCGGGGTCCACGGTGCAGGTCTGACCAATCAGCCTGGTCCACACTCTGAACAGCAGCCCCTATATCTGCCCTGAAAACACTGATGTCCAAAATCAACTACGACTACGTAATCCATTTTAATTTCCCAGGTTCAGCTAAAAAAAGATGAAATTAAGCTTCTCCTCATAGATGTCTACTAAAAAATATGCTTGCCTTTATTAATTCGAAGGTAAGTAACACAAAGAGTGCCTCACCACCCACAGGAAGCCCCTCTGGGACGCCACGAGTCACGTGGTGACCCTCATCACCAGCAAGAACATTGCATAAGTGCCCCTCCTGCTCCAGCTCTCCCAGCGCCCCAGCTCTCCCAGCGTCCCAGCTCTCCCAGTGCCAGCTCTCACAGTGCCCCAGCTCTCTCAGTGCCCCAGCTCTCCCAGCGCCCCAGCTCTCCCAGCGCCCCAGCTCTCCCAGTGCCCCAACTCTCCCAGTGCCAGCTCTCCCAGTGCCCCAGCTCTCCCAGTGCCCCAGCACTCCCAGTGCCAGCTCTCCCAGTGCCAGCTCTCCCAGTGCCCCAGCTGTCCCAGTGCCCCAGCTGTCCCAGTGCCAGCTCTCCCAGTGCCCCAGCTCTCCCAGTGCCAGCTCTCCCAGCGCCCCAGCTCTCCCAGTGCCCCAGCTCTCCCAGTGCCCCAACTCTCCCAGTGCCCCAGCTCTCCCAGTGCCAGCTCTCCCAGTGCCCCAGCTCTCCCAGTGCCCCAGCTCTCCCAGTGCCAGCTCTCCCAGCGCCCCAGCTCTCCCAGTGCCCCAGCTCTCCCAGTGCCCCAACTCTCCCAGTGCCACCTCTCCCAGTGCCCCAGCTCTCCTAGTGCCAGCTCTCCCAGCGCCCCAGCTCTCCCAGTGCCCCAGCATTCCCAGTGCCAGCTCTCCCAGTGCCAGCTCTCCGAGTGCCCCAGCTCTCCCAGTGCCCCAGCTCTCCCAGCGCCCCAGCTCTCCCAGTGCCAGCTCTCCCAGTGCCCCAGGTCTCCCAGTGCCCCAGTTCTCCCAGCGCCCCAGCTCTCCCAGTGCCCCAGCTCTCCCAGCGCCCCAGCTCTCCCAGTGCCCCAGCTCTCCCAGCGCGCCAGCTCTTCCAGTGCCCCAGCTCTCCCAGTGCCCCAGCTCTCCCAGTGCACCAGCTCTCCCAGTGCCAACTCTCATAGTGCCAGCTCTCCCAGTGCCCCAGCTCTCCCAATGCCAGCTTTCCCAGTGCCCCAGCTCTCCCAGTGCCAGCTCTCCCAGCGCCCCAGCTCTCCCAGCGCCCCAGCTCTCCCAGGGCACCAGCTCTCCCAGCACACCAGCTCTCCCAGTGCCCCAGCTCTCCCAGTGCCAACTCTCATAGTGCCAGTTCTCCCAGTGCCCCAGCTCTCCCAGTGCCAGCTCTCCCAGTGCCAGCTCTCCTAGCGCCCCAGCTCTCCCAGTGCACCAGCTCTCCCAGTGCCACAGCTCTCCCAGTGCCCCAGCTCTCGCAGCGCGCCAGCTCTCCCAGCGCCCCAGCTCTCCCAGTGCACCAGCTCTCCCAGCACCCCAGCTCTCCCAGTGCCCCAGCTCTCCCAGTGCACCAGCTCTCCCAGCGCCCCAGCTCTCCCAGTACCAGCTCTCCCAGTGCCCCAGTTCTCGCAGCGCGCCAGCTCTCCCAGCGCCCCAGCTCTCCCAGCGCCCCAGCTCTCCCAGTACCAGCTCTCCCAGTGCCCCAGTTCTCGCAGCGCGCCAGCTCTCCCAGCGCCCCAGCTCTCCCAGCGCCCCAGCTCTCCCAGTGCACCAGCTCTCCCAGCGCCCCAGCTCTCCCAGCGCGCCAGCTCTCCCAGCGCCCCAGCTCTCCCAGCGCCCCGGCTCTCCCAGTGCCAGCTCTCCCAGCGCCCCAGCCCTCCCAGCGCCCCAGATCTCCTAGTGCACCAGCTCTCCCAGTGCCCCAGCTCTCCCAGCACCCCAGCTCTCCCAGTGCCAGCTCTCCCACTGCACCAGCTGTCCCAGTGCCCCAGCTCTCCCAGTGACCCCAGCTCTCCCAGCGCCCCAGCTCTCCCAGCGCGCCAGCTCTCCCAGCGCCCCAGCTCTCCCAATGCCCCAGCTCTCCCAGTGCACCAGCTCTCCCAGTGACCCCAGCTCTCCCAGTGCCCCAGCTCTCCCAGTGCCAACTTTCATAGTGCCAGCTCTCTCACTGCCCCAGCTCTCCCAGTGCCAGCTCTCCCAGTGCCAGCTCTCCCAGTGCCCCAGCTCTCCCAGAGCCCCAGCTGTCCCAGCGCCCCAGCTCTCCCAGTGCCAGCTCTCCCAGTGCACCAGCTCTCCCAGTGCCAGTTCTCCCAGCACCCCAGCTCTCCCAGCGTGCCAGCTCTCCCAGCGCCCCAGCTCTCCCAGTGCCCCAGCTCTCCCAGTGCCAGCTCTCCCAGTGCACCAGCTCTCCCAGTGCCAGCTCTCCCAGTGCACAAGCTCTCCCAGTGCACAAGCTCTCCCAGCGCCTCAGCTCTCCCAGCGCCCCAGCTCTCCCAGTGCCAGCTCTCCCAGTGCACCAGCTCTCCCAGTGCAGCAGCTCTCACAGTCAGCAGCTCATCGCCAGCATTGTATCCAGGGTCTGCTTTCCCTCCTAAGACTACAATATAAACAAATAGTTGCCCTATTGAGATCGATTGTGCTATTGATCTCTTTTTGTAAGACTATAAAACAGTAATTTTATAAGGTGAAGGAGGCAAAAAGGCCATAAAATGGTAAGTTTATCATATTTTTTCCACTTAAATGTGTGTGCATGCTTTTGAAAAGGAAAGGAAAACTTAATATACATTAAAAAAAGAGACTGTACATCCATTTCGCAGGATGCTCCCTGCGGTTGCTCCTCGGGTGCTCTAAGTACAGGCTGCCTTTTTTCCCCACTGTATTTTTCTGATTTTCAAGTCTAGTTTAAGAAGAAAAGACAGAAAGCTTGAAAAACGAGCATAGGGAACACCGAAGTGCCGACATATCTTGTTGATGTTAAAAAGTAATAAAAAGGGCCGGGCGCAGTGGCTCAAGCCTGTAATCCCAGCACTCTGGGAGGCCGAGGCAGGTGGATCACGAGGTC